ATCCTACTCGAGTTATTAGAGTAAATTACTATTTATTTTAGGTAGTAATGTAATACCCGGGTGCAATCACTAATTTTCATATTAAGGGCTTTTTTAAAAATTTAAAATTTATATTATAATTCAATATTAAATAGGAATTTGCAAACAACCAATTGCCGGCGATTTCATGTCGGAACAAATTCTGAAACAGTTTCAAACACTCAATATTAATGTAGAACCACACTACAAGATCGCGAAGAAGACGCCCGTAGGGACTGATCAGCCAGCCAATGTTGTATTCCGTGACCGACCGAATACAACAGAGAGTTATCATAAATTCATGCAGATGGTAAGAAGTCGGAGAGGCAGTTTGAAGATTTAAATTAACCCCAGGGTTGATGTATTATCGATCTCTGATTATCAGCGAACATAATTGGTATAGAGAGTAATACATGAATTTAAAGAGTCTGTTTGTCAAGTATTCGAGGCATCATACAATGAATTGTAAGTGTCTTAAAATTAAATTTGTTATTATTACAATAAAAAATATTATTAATCATGATAATTATTATAATTTAAGGGTAATTGCCGCTCGTCCGATGAAAACCTTCGAGTTCCCCGATGGGTTCAACACGTCATTTGGCGTGCAACGATTCGACGTTCCCGAAATTCTATTTAATCCATTAAAATTTATAACGCAGGTCAGGTTACAAAATTTAATTAATTAAATATATATTTACTAAATTGATAATTATAGGTAGATATTAATTACACACCTTACCTAATAGCCCGATCGACCTAGCTTTGATTCAAAATCTTCTTTGTTAGGAGTGCACCAAATGATCTCCGAAAGCGTTCTTGCTTGCGACGTTGACGTACGTCCTCTTTTATTGAATAATATTATCCTAACCGGTGGCTCTACTTTACTACCTGGCTTTGCCGATCGTGTAAATTATGAATTGACCATGATGGTTCCCGGGGTAACATTTCATAAATGTTAAAGCATTTATATCTTTTAAATTACTATATTATTATTATTAGCTACATTATATTTCTCAAATGCGATTTCAGTAAGTTTTTCTCTAATTTCTCTGGTGTTCCAAGCTGCTTCTGTTACGAACAATGGATGTTCAGTTGGATCAACTTGCAGCCTCTTACGCAATGCATAATCCCAGATTTGTTCCAGCGCGTCCCAATCTTGCACTAATAATATGATCATGTGAATTATGAAAAAATTATCGTTGGAAGAACCATATGCAAAACATACCCAAGCCATTAACAAGAGGATTTCTAATTTCCATATTAGGTCTCCACGCTGCCACTTCTGCGTCTCCTATTATGTATTTCCCTTTCTCAGAGGACTCCGAGGAAATTGTTTCTGTTTCCGGAATGTACCCATATGAGGTAGGAAAAACAATTTTTGGAGTATCTTCACCGGCATATCCAGCACGAGTCCAACACGAACCAACATCTAAAACTAAAGCTGAAACTTCGTCTATCGAATGATAAACCAGTAAAATAAAAATTGTAATTTCGTAAGTAACACTTCTGAATATATATAAAAATAACTTATCGATCTATTGGCAAATAATGAAATTAACCTCCGCCAAAGGTAGCCATTTTCCGGTAAAAATAAGCGAAAGACGTTAAATTATGATCTAGATGCACAGCATATATAGTGATCATGTGAAATTAAAATTACGCGAGCAAAATTATCTAATCTGTGTTACCGATATCGACCAATATTCGTTACCGGTAATTCAGTATATTCAGTATCGATCTCTTTGTTGTTAGTCATGCCAAGCGGAATACAGCAAGCTTCTCAACTTTATAATACTCTCAAAGCAGAATTTACTTCTGCCTCACCTGATTTGAATAAATGTGGTTCTTACTTAGCAAAACTCAAGGTTTATACTTTAAAACTTTAATATTGCATCGAAACTACGCAATGAGATTAACGTGATTAATATTTGTTAGATTGCATTGTCAGAAATGCAACTTTTACTTCCTAGAGAAGAACTTACTAATCCGGAGGAGCTTCTCATTGCACGTATGGAAAATTTAAGTGAATGTTTTACAGGTCAATATTGGATTATAATGATAACCATCTAAATGTTTAATCAGGTGAAATCTTGGAAATTGGAGCTTACTGGAGTGTTCATGTCAAGGATATACCATCTTTTGAGCGATACATAGCTCAATTGAATACATATTATACTGATTATAGGTTTGTTCACCATAAGTCATTTCATTGATTATGATAAAAAAATTTTCTTTTATTAATTGATATGTTGATTAATCTGGTAAAAGCTCGCTACTTAAACCTTCAGATCAAATGTATCCTTTGACAGGGTTGAATCTTCTTCGCTTACTTTCCCAAAACCGTATTGCTGAATTCCATACTGCTTTGGAAAATATTGAACCAGAACAGCTTTTGGAAAATCCTTTTATCAAACACCCAGTTCATTTGGAACAGTATCTCATGGAAGGAAGTTATAATAAAGTATGGAATTCTAGAGAACAAGTACCCGCACCTGAATATCGTTTTTTTATTGATATTTTAATGGGGACTATTAGGTTATTAATTTCGATGAATGTTATTATTGTATTGCAAAAATTTTGATTCTTTTTTTTTTTAACGTCGATATTGAAAATTTAAAATTAGGAGTGAAATTGCGAGTTGCAGTGAGAAAGCATATTCAAGCTTGCCTTTGGTTGATGCCGCAACATTGTTGTTCTATAATAATCTTAACGATGTTTTGAATTTTGCTATGGAGGTAAGCTAAGAAAATAACATTTTTCTTTCTAACTCTTTCATGTAAAATCTTACATATTATAATATTTTTCAGCGTGAATGGAAGGTAAATCCGACAGAAAAGAAAATATATTTCACGACAAAGGATGATAATCTTGTTGAGATACCACATGCTAATATTACTAAACAAGCACTTAATTATGCACGTGAATTAGAACAAATTGTGTGATTAATTCATGAGTTAAATGAAAATATTAAAGTATTTTTGCAAGAATTAAAATTAACCATATTAACGGATTTATGAAACGAACCTTTTTCTTGGTTATTAAAATTTAATTATAACTGTTAAATAAATAGACACTAAAAATACGATCTAATCAGTGTTAACTTATTACCGTATTATGCTATTTTAAAATAATTGTGAAGAGTAGAGTATACGTATGTAAATTATTTTATTTAGAAAATAAAAAACTAAGAATATATTTTTAATAAAAGTTTTTTTAAAAAATTTAACTAAAAATTTTTGTATTATTATTGTTTTCAAAATACTTGAAATTTTAAAAAATATTTTTAAAATTCTGTATACTGATATATACTAACTTAAAATCATTAGTAGTTAAAAATTTTTTTTGTATATTTTAATATATTACTAATATTTGTATATTTGAAAAAAATTTTTTAGCTACTAATGATTTTAAATTAGTTAAAAAAAATATACTGAATTTTAATAAATTTTTTATTAAAATTTAGTATATATTTTTTTTAACTAATTTAAAATCATTAGTAATTAAAAAATCAAGAATTTTTTTTTTTTTTTTATTGTTACAACAAGGCTTCAATATCAGTTAATTTTTATTAGATTATTTGTAAGTTTATATTGGTTTGTAAGAGTACAATTAATTACATATACAACTTTAATTATTTTTTAATAACAAAAACTAAAGAAACTAAAAATAATAAAGAAAAATTATAAAGAAACAAAGTGTAAAAGTTTGCTTATGAGAAGACTAAAGATATTAAAATATTATTTAATATTAAGAACTAGAGAGCAGTTGTTATTTAGAAGAGTTATTATTATTTATCTTTCTTTAGGAACTATTATGATTTTAATTCTATATTATGTCAAGTCAAGGGAGAAAAAGGCCTGTATTTATAAGCTTTGGTTGTTAAGGATTAGTAATTTGTGTTGGTATTCACGATATTTGAGTGAACTAATAGTTATTTTTAGCTATAGTATTCATAGTGTTGAAGGTAGTATTTGCAATGCTCTTCACATAATGTTAAGGTGATACATATTACTAATGATTGATTAATAATATCTAGAAAGTTCTAAAAGGTTCTAGAACATTCCATAAGATTCCAGAAGTTGCTATATAATTTCAAGATATTCAAAATATTCTAAAACATTCTATAACATTCCAAACTATTTTATAATTTTCTGTGTAATATATCTAAAAACTATAACTAATCATTATACAAAACTATTATTAATAAAACTATACTAAAATACTATACTAAACAAATAATAAAACTCATCCATACTGCCATCGGCGCTCTGTATGGGTAACAAATACAAAAACTAAACAAAATAAATAAAAACTATAACAAATATACTATAAAAATACTAAATCAAATAATAAAACTAAAAATAAAATAAAAGAAAAATAAAGAAATAGAAAATTATAGACATGACAATATGTATTACTTCTAGAATTTATAAAATTAATAAAGTTTAGCTGATAGTATTTGTATAAAGTAAAAAAAAAAAAAAAAAAAAAAAAAAAATTGTTGACTTTGCCTTATTCGTATCTCTGTGATATCTTTAACCTTATAGTTCTTGTTAAGTCTACTTATTAGACTTAGTATTTGCTTGTTTTTAGTAAATTTCATAATATTCACATATTAAGAATTCTACTATGTGCTATTACAAAGTTTAGAAGTATTCTTGTTAAACCTAATTTGTTTTTAGCAATTATTATATATAGTTGCTGAATTTTTTCGTATTTATCTTTAGTCAAGAAAGTACTTTGCAAAATATACTCTAATTTTGGTATTAGATATATATTATTAATATAAAGTACTTGACTTGAAGAGACTATCTTTTTCTTAATCATATTAGTAAAAAGTCTTGCTATTTGCTTAGCTTTGTTTACAATTTGTTTTTTGTCTATTCTTTGTCTAATTCAAATTCCCAAGAATCTGATCACTTCTTTTTCTTTAGTTGTATAAACTTTTTGCTTGTCTACTATAATTTTGTGATCCTCTGTATAGATTTTTGAATTTATTACAATAAGCTTTAATTTAAACAGATTTATCTAGATGTTATTGAACTTGAAGAATTCTTCTGCAATTTGAATAGTTTCTTCAAACTACTCTTTAAAGCTTGCTATCTATATGGTATCATCTGCAAAAGCAACTACAGCTTGTCTTATTCTTTTGGTCTTTATTTCTTCCCTTTTAAGATTTTCTTTCCAAAAGATACTTATTTCATATCTAGGCTTCTTGTTTTTTTTAATTCTTATTAGCAGAGGATCATAAAAAATTCTTCAAATTAAAGGTAAAATCACTTCTTCTTGTTCTATACTATCTTTTGCTATTATTAATTCAGTCAGACCTAATACTGTAATTATTCTAGTTTGTCTTTAGTTGAAAAGATCTAATATAAAGTCCTGCTCTATTGCTAGTAACTTTATTCTTTAGAGAGCTAGTTTTAGTGATTTTAGACTCACAGAATTAAATACTTTTTTCATATCTTGTAGCATTATCTAGAGCTTTTTGTTGTTTTCTTTTGTTTCTTCTATTATCATATTCAAAATATGAATTAGGCTTTCTGTTAAACTTCCTATTAGCTCTACAAAGTTTGAACCTTCTAGAATATTGTTTTCTCTTATTATCTTCTTTAATCTGACTATGTAAACTTTAGTTATACTCTTTCTAAAAGTTTTTAGAAGTACTATTAGCCTTATATTATTTAGGTTGAATTGCTAGTCTATATCTTTAGGTATTGGATAGGTCTGTTCAATCTTCTATTTAGTAGAATTTTTTCTGCTTCTAGATATTAACTAGTAAAGTTTTTAAAAGCTACTTGTATTTTTGCACTTACTTGTTTAATTAGAATATATTCAATTCTTGATAAACCTAGTGCTATACTTGTTTTGAGTTTTTGTAATTTTGAGAACTATTTTTCTTTTGTTATTCTACTATTCAGATTCTTATAGTAGCTTTTATCAATTCTTATCATTAGTTTATATATTTCTTTCTAGCTATACGAGAAATCTTCTTGTTAAAAGTTTCTTTTTTTAAACTGTTTTTTAAAGTGATTAGCTGTTCTTTCTAAGACTTCTTTTAGTTCATTAAATAGTTCTTTGATCTCTCTTTTATCTAAGAGTAATCTATTAATTACTACTTTTTTGAACAGTTTTTCTAGTAAACTATTAATTATTCTTCTCTGGTTATCCCTTATCATTTCGTATTTGTGATCTATATAGTCTCTTATTTCTAGTTTGCTTGTTATACTGTTCTCTGCTACTAATTTGCTTTTGAGTATTGACTATTATCTTGTGAGCTTTTCTTATAGCTGCTCGCTCTACAAAGTTTTTAGTATTTCTATACTTAACTCTGTTTTTTAGTTTATTTTTCTAACTTCTCACTCAATATCACTTTGTTCATCTTCTGTTCTTTTAGTTCTTAATTTCTTTTTGCATTCTTTAACTAGTTTTCTTATTGAACTTATTGCGATTTGCAATTTTAAATATATTTTATTTAGAGCTTTATTGTAACCTGAGTTTAGCACTTTCTTGTGAAGGATCTCATTCTCTGCTACTTGTTTAATACAATTACTTATAGTATCTTATTCCTTATTTAAATCTATATTGTTCATAGATTCTTCACTATTTATTTCAGAATATTTGTTTAACTATAGCTTCTTATTTAGCTTTTTTTTAAGTAATTGTTATAGCTTGTTTCTGTAATTATTCCAATTTTTTTCTGTTGCTTTATCATATAAGAAAATTGTTCTCTTTATGCCTTTTCTTTTGATTTGTACTAAACTATCTTTAAAATCTAAATAAGTTAGAAATATTTTTGCTACTACTAGTTTGTAGTTACTACTCATATCCAAGCTTATTTCTTCAATTAAGATATCTTTAAGTCTAAAAATTAGACTTTTTGAGATTCAAATTTGGTTTATTCTTGTACTATCTTTTCTGTTACTCTATGAAAATTCCCTTTTGTTAGGGTATAGATCTCTAAAGATATCAATAAAGCTCTGTTTCACTATCTAACTATGTAAGAGTAGTTTATTGAATTGCTATTCATATTATTACTTTTGTTAATACTTAGTTGTATGATATGATTTAAATCACTCATTATTATAAAGTATATATTTGGTTTTCTTTGTACTATTTCTTTTATTATTATTCTTTGTACTTCATTTCTTCTTGGTAAGCTATTTGATACTAAATATACTATAAAAACTACTAGTTCTAATTGTTTAAAGAAAAAATACATCTTTAGTAGATAGCTACTATGTTTTCTAATCTGTTCTATATACTTAGACTACTTTTTGCTTACAATTATATCTATTTCTAAGCTTTTACTTTTATCTTTCTCTGTATTAATCCAAAAGCTATCTATACCTTCTTGATATCTAGTTATATATTAATCTTCTTTTTCTGTAATATTTGTTTCTATTATTTTTACTATATCATAGTCTTCTTCTCTAAGTATATCTATTAGTACTTCTAACTTA